GGACCCTCCCCCCACTCCCCGGAGTGCACAAATTTTTGTGCACTGGGCCTCTAGTATATATATAAAATCTGTGCACTTGTGGGGGATCTCTCAGCCCAGCTTGTGCCCTCTCACAGTTTGGGAGCCCTGTGATCAATCGCCCCAAAGAGGTAGATCCCTCCCACCCAGCCAGAGCTCTGTGATGGATCATAACCACTGTTGGGTAGCCTGGGCCTCCCTCTTTGAGGCAATTGATTGAGCCCCACAGAGGGAGGCCCCGCCCACCCACTGCAGCCCACCTGCCAGTGGCCTGGGCCTCCCTCTGCAGGGCGATCATGGGGTAATGGCTGGGCCCCCAAACAATTGCATCGCACCTGCCTTGGCTGGCCTGGCGCCAGTGGGTGTCATAGCGTGGTCATCTGGAAAGCTGTCCAGAAGTTCATCCAGAAGAATGTCCAGAAGGTCATTTGGCTGTCTGGTCTAATTAGCACATTATGCTTTTATTATTTTATATATATATATACATTAGAAACCCGGTGCATGAAATTCTTGCACCAGGTAGGGCTAGGAGCCCTCAGCCCAGCCTGCACCCTCTTGCAATCTGGGACCCCTCAAGGGATGTCCAACTGCTGGTTTAGGCCCGATCCCTGTGGATTTGGGATGGCTGGCTCCTAACCATTCACCTGCCTGCCTGCCTGCCTGATTACCCCTAACCACTCTGTCTGCCTGCCTCATCGCCCCTAACCACTTGCCTGCCCACCTGATCACCCCTAACTGCCTCTGCCTGCCTTCCTGATTGCCCCTAACCACTCTGCATGCCTGCTTGATCATCCCCAATCACTCTGCCTGTGCACAGCAACTCTCTCTAGTTCCAGCCTTTTTTTAAAAGTCATGCTTATGCTCCCAGGTGGCCCTGGCTTGAGTCAGCAGCCACCAGGCTGGGTCAATCGAAGCTCCTGGCCCATCGTCCTTTTGATGTGCCTCACAGGCCTCTCTCTAAGCCATTCTGACCCTCTATTCTGAGAGTAATGGCCTCTGGCCAGCTGCCCATCATGTCATCTTCCCACAGCGCTTTATCCAAGTGAAGACCTTTCCCACCTCTCTGTTCACACCATGCTGACCTGTGCGTAGTCACATTTTCTGTTTATGGTTAAATACACAAAGAGTTGCCTGCAGGCTTTCTGATTGATTACCCATTTCTAAAGACTGCAGTTAGTGATTGTTTTTTTGAAACCCACAATATTGCCGAACCTTTCTTAAACATAACTATCAGTGCTATACTTACTTAAGCACAAAAGTTAAAAGATGAGAAAACAATAAATGATAAAGAAATTACCTAAATAATTGCTAACTATCCCATAGTGTGTATTACAGTGTCCAGATCGTTGAAGTATGAATGTAGGGATGTATTAGTTTTCTTGTGTTGTTACAACAAATTCACGCGGGCTTAGTGGTTTGAAACGGTACAAATTTGTTATCTTGTCATTCTTGGAGGTCAGAGGTCTAAAATGATTCGGGCAGGGCTGTGTTCCTAAGGGAAACTGCAAGTGAGAATCCTTTTCCCTTCCAGTGTTTTCCAGCTTGTGTTGGAAAACACACCTCTGGCGCCTGCACTGCTCCCCTGGCCTCTGCTTCTGTTGTCACAGCCCAGGCCCTGACTCTGCCCTCCTGCCTCTCTGCCACAAGGACCTGTGTGGTTAGAGTGGACCCACCCTGATAATCAGGAGGACTTTCTTACCTCAGCATTCTAGTCTTCATCATAGAGATCAACTCCTTTAGCCACATAAGCTAAGGTATTCTGGGGATTAGCGTGTGGGAAATTAGCATGTGGGGGAGCCATTATTGCACCCAAAACAATCAGGGTCAATAAAAAATTTGGAGCATGAAACTAGTATAAAAATGGTTAAAGAAAAAAGCCCAAACTACAGGTTCCATTAACTCCCAACCATGCTACCACTGTAGGGCAGTAGTGGAAATGCATGATAGTAAAATAGGAACTGTAAAGGATAAGGAGTTTACTTTGTGTTTGCTCAAGTTGGATTAAATAGACTAAATTACAATATTCCCATCATGAACTATTTTGATAAGTTTGATGACAGAAACTGGACTTGAAGAGTCGGATTTATTGCTCGTGTCACATAATTATACGATAAAATAACACGTATGTCACACTCACCTACACTCACAAATATGCACACATATCAACAGGCACACATATATAGATAAAAACATGTAATGAATACATATATGTGAGTATATGAATTAGGGATGTCCAAGACAGAAATGAAACTTCAAAGATTTTCTGAATTGTCTCCACCTAAAAATATAATCACTCGTATGTTCTTGTGATACAAGCACTATCGGATATCGCATCTGAACACAAAGGAGGTGCAGTCTTAGAAGCATTTCAGCACATCCCGTCTACCTGCAGGTCTCACGTGTCCACTGAGCATGATTTACCAGCAGGTTGCTCCGGGGATGCACGTGTAACCCAGTGGACAATGCAATGTTATCAGAAACACTGGGCATTCAAAACGGTTTCAGTGGTCCAGGATTTGTTTTTCAAGTCAATGACCATGTATGCATGAAAATCTTCCATCCCTATTTAGAGTAGAGAGGAAGGGAAAATAAATGTGCCGGGTTTTGAGAATATGGCATACAAATACCAGAAACAAGGATTTCATAACAAAAGGGCATGTTAACCTTACTAAATGCTGATTACTCAGGGTAAAATAGAAAGGGAAATAAAAGCGTTTTTATAAAATGTATCAAATCCTAGGAGTGCTGTTAAACTCATTAAAGAAAAAATGAAGTTAGAGAAACTGGTCTTATTTTTTTTCACTCCCAGTAGAGTTCATTTCTACTTCAACAACTAAGCCAAGGTCACATTTAACTCACTTCAATTTCACCCAGTGCACAAGCTAATGTCAATAGTACAGCTGCCACGCAGAGCTAAAGACTGATGGTTAGACAAAGCCATTTACACAAGGCTGGGTCTTTCATCTTCTCTCAGCCAGTGACATAAGAAAGCACCGAGGTTATTCTCAACTAGAGACGAAAACTGGCGTATTAGAAAGAATGTTATTCTCCTTAGCTGTCACACAAAGGATCTGAAGAAATGTAGAAATGTGGGGTTTTTTCCTCCCCCGCTCTGGTCATCTGGGGAGATCACAAAGTGACTCTAATAGCCTTCACTCTGAAATTTTCACATGGTTTAAGTGATTGCCAAGTCTGATATTTTCCATTTACACTTCATTGCCATCAGAAAAAGAAAAAAAAATCAATATACCTACCTACTCAAGTGTGTCACAGGATGAGCTTATAAAAGAAGACATCAGTCTTTTTAGGGCATGAAAAATATACTTATTCAAATATATCTTATTTAAAATGACATAAATTACAGTGGTTAGTCAAGATTCGATTTCCTCTAAAATATAAGTTTTAAAATATTCCTTGACTTGCCAGGAATCAGAATCCTTCAAATTGTTGATCTATACAGATGTACTTGTTTTCGGATGTAAGTCATTCTGACTGTATTTTATTTTAGTGCATTAGTGACTACATTTATTAATTTCACAGGAACCAAAGCACTGCATTTTATGAGGCCACACTAGGTAGTACTTTTTTTTTTCTCTTCTCAGAAAACAATTTTATTTTCAACCTTACTTTTCTACTCTATGGCTTCTTGCGCTTTTAGCTTTATATCTTTGGGGGCAAAAATGAGGATGTTTCCTTACATTATTCTAATAATATTTTACATTAAGAGTCTATTCTTTCTTAACTTGTTTAACTATTAAAACTTCTTTATGCAGAAAAGGTGTAATGAGTTCAATGTAACATTTCCAACGCGTTAGTTAAAATCAGAGGTAATTTTAACTGTCAAAGGAACATCCATGTCAGATTGGTCTTTCAATGAAAAGAAATCTCATGTCAAGTTTGAGTGCAATGGCTGTGTGTTATATACATGCTCTGTGTTGCAGATATTTAGAATGCCTCTGTTTCCACATTTCTCCTGAAACACAGTACGGAAGGATATGGAGTCTACATGCCGTAATAAAATACGGTACAAAAGGGACAGTATTGGTGGCTGTGTCCTAGATATACTGACTTAACTCGCCGCTTGAGTGTCTTCCTCCCAGATCTCATGCATGTGGATAGCATCGTTGTAGCAGGAACCAATACCATGCTTCCAGGTTTACACACAGTATTCAAATGTCACCCGCCAAGGAGTTCTGAAACAGTGACGATATCTTTACCTTCCTATTATTACAGTGCCAACCCTCAGGTCTGCAGGTTTTGCCTTTGTTTATCTCTATTCCCCAGCCAGACACCTCAAGGCCCAAGATGAGTTGGTCAGCCAACTATCCACTAGAAGAAGAAGAAGAAGAAGAAGAAGAAGAAGAAGAAGAAGAAGAAGAAGAAGAAGAAGAAGAAGAAGAAGAAGGAGAAGGGCAAAATTTTGTGTGTGAGGTCACTCTTGGACTCAGTTCCCCATGTGGCAATGCAACACACTAACAATTGAGTTGCTGGGCCGTCCCCCACAGTTACAAGTATTTCAAGGTCAATTTATCAATTTAACAGCTTCATCTTCTTAATCACTAAACTTCTGTCTCTTTGAGCTTGTGCTGAAAGAGTGCGGCTGCTAATTAAAATGGAGCTTTACTAGCAAGTACACAAATTAGATCCTGTCAGTAAGTTTATTCTAACTATTGGTCATTTCTAAATGCCTTTTTAATCCCCTAATTTTTACATTAAAATTCAAAAGCCTAACAATCTTAATCACCCCTACATCAAATTCATCATTAAGAACAGGAAGCCAGATGGTATAATTTTGATTTACCGGACTTCAGCGTGAATTAATGTACTGAGTGCCGATAATGAATACATCAAACCTGATATTGCAGAAACCTATGAATCTGGCATGTGAAATTAATAACACACTCTGCACAATGAAAGCATGTAAGCTCATATAAAACTGAGGAGTAATGGGCCCTTTTATTTTAAATGGTCTTTATTAGCCTTCTGTTTTGACTCTTAAGAAAAAGATGAGGCTTTTGTTTAGTAGTATACTTGTCCATTGTACAACTATGTTTCCCCCATGTAACACAACATGAACAAAATTAGGATGATTAACAACAAAGCTTGTCTCGAGAAATTTACTCACAGGGTTCTCAGAGTAGCTGCTAGCTTTGCATTTATTTTGGGAATTATAACTGTACATACTAGAGAGTACATATTAGAGAGAGTCCAGAAATTTCTGAAAAACATTGTGACCTATAAAATATTATGTTTCCTTCTTACTGGATCAATGTTCATAATATATGTTATTCATCAGAACCACTCTTGTACATTAAGCTTAAAAAGAGATATAGGCAATTTTACCCCTATTGTTTCATTGCCACTAAAGGTGTACTGTTTTATACCCAGGAATTAAATAGCACCCATATCCAGTCATGCAGGTCACGTGTACAGAAGGATGCTCATAACAGGCCCATCACAAAGAGTTGCTCGCGACAGAGAAATTACTGACATCTGAAATAAGTTGAAGGTACTGTTTTTTACTGTCTCTGCTAATTTATTAACATGTTTCCATTAAACATATTTTTATTTTTGTTGACTTGCAGACAGTTCCAGTTTTTATTAAGCATTAACAGGATTAGGAATAAAATACATCCATAAATTATGTGAAAAACCTGTGGAGTAAAATTAAGACCTAAAATATAATTTTTTTAGGCAACTTCAAGTTTATATAACGTAAGTAGTTTCGTGTAGTGAGCAAGGAATACGTTCTATTGTCTGAATTTTTTAAAACACAGACTTTATGAAGTCAAGTTGTGACTGCTGTGTAAGAATACTCATGTGGTTTTGCTTCGTTTTTTTCCTTTGTGCAGCAGGATCACAAATCAGCTGTCGAATGTGAGCCTGAAAATGACCCCGCGTAATACACTTTGTAAATGATCTTCTAACTTTCATAACATTGAGGTTTTGCCTCAAATTCTGAGTACATATCAATAGACAGTGTAGGGACCCCGAAATGTGGACGGGAACAATCTTTGCTTTTTGCCTCAACACTATGTATGATGGTATTTGAAGAAGGTGAAAATGCCGATTTTACTTTGAAAGTGGTCAGAGGTGACCAGATGTTGCAGGTTAACAACGTGAGCTGCTTTTCTGCTGCACAGACCTTCGTTTTTCACTGCTTTGCAGTTAGAGCAAATATTTCAGCAGCCTGACTCTGAAATGAAGGCAGTGCCACAAATAGGATAATGTTCAAAAAAATGGTACAAACCTTACACTAAGTGCTATTTTCTAGATAACATTGCTCATTGGTTCAATCTATACTCACACTTGTAAGACAGTATAGAGGATAATTTGTATCTCTTAGAGGTACAGTGCTAAGATTTATTGCAGAATAGGGAAGGGATGTATTAGTGCTTTATCTTAAGGGTAGGGAAAATAAAAGCACTTTTTGGGCTCCTGGTATTTATTTTTGTGACTTAGCCTTCAAAAATTGTGCGTTTTAATAAAGATTAGGCTTTTAAGAAGTACACCTTTAAACCTTACATCACTTTGAATGGAATAAGTCGGTTATTTCTGGCTGAAAATTTTTCTTACTCCTAAATCTCTTTAACTGAAGCTCATTTGACAAACCTATTATAAAATGAATAAATGCAGCACTGTGTGATTTGTCCACTGTCAACATGTTAACACACTTTATTTGAAGGTAGATTGATGGAGGGTGGCTGAAAGAGTTTACCCTCCTGAGTTAAAGAATAGAAAACCCTTTTTTCTTAGTTTTTTTTTCTTTTTTTTTCTTAGAAGTTCACAAGAGTAGATATACAATTATCCTCGACTTGCTGATGCAAAGGAACAGAGCATTTAGTTTCTTGTCACTGTCTCTGAAATTCCTAAAGGTACAATTAGCATTTCATTTGACATAATGTTGAAAGGTTCATAGATTGATCTTCCCTAAAATGCAGCAAGAATTTTTTGAAATGCAAATTTTGACATTTATTAACTTTTATTCCAGATCTGTTTATAGACTGTAAAACTGTGCATATATTTAACTCGAAGAAGCTAAAAGGACAATGTTTAGGTGGATACTCTGTGTTATAATAAAAGTCTATTTTATTGTTTCAACAATGAAATTTTTATTATCAGAGATTTATGATATCGGCACAGCAGTTTTTACTGCATGATTCACAGTGTTTTTATAGATGTATATTCAACAAAACAAGGAGAGAAATGGTGCCGCGGTGCTCCCTCTCAGGAGTGCATTTCCCCATTGAAATAATGTCAGCAGTTTTCCACCTTCAAAGCCCCGTGTTTTCAAATCAATTAACAATTCTAATTGTGCAGGAACAGTTGTTCACTTAGCTTGGCAAATGGGACAGGAAACATTATTTCCTTTCTTCGCCTAAAATGAAGACTTTAATCTTCTGAACCATATTTAACGCAGAAAAAAACACATAGCTGAAAAGTTAGACAGTTTGGAAACTCAGTGGGTTTGCCGGTGCCGGCTGGCTCGCCGCGCGGCCTACATTCACTTCCCAGTCTTCCCAAGCCCCGCTGGAAGCCGGGAGTAATAAGTTTTACATCTCGGTGCGGACAAACCATCTTCAGATTCATTTAGACTTTTCTTTAATCAGATTTCTATCTAGCCGGGCAGTGGTAAGAGTTATTACTTTTCGGAGGTAGACACCAAACATGGGTAGTGACCCCAGTTGCGACACTCGAATGCAGATCTGTATCAGCGGGCGAGAAACCGCTGACACCGCACGTGGAGGAGCCAGGTCTGCTGTTCCACTTAGAGTCCTAATGTCATTTCCACTTAAAAAAATGTTATTGGGATTAAAGTGCAACTTGTAAGATATTGAACAGTGTGGTCCATAAAACAAGGAGCACAGGCAGTCATCAGATGTTATTAAATATGTACAGTTTAACCTTTTCTTTTTTACAAACGTATATTTGAGTTGTAGCTCCTAATGTCTGTCGGTGTTTATGAAACACACAAATGCTACGATTAGAGCAGGAGATCTTTAGTGTTTCAGCATCAATGGAGGAATGCGCTTTAGCATGTTTGCAATAGCCTCTGCGATTATTCAAATATATACTTTCAGAAAGACAGCTTGTATTCTGGAAGGATTAAAAGATCTCCAGCAAAAGAAAGTTGTTGTTTTTTAATTCTCTTCCCCACAAATCTTTCATTTAGTGGACTCCCTTGCATGAGTCTCGGATGAATGACCTATGACTATTCCACTTGAATCTTACTGTTTTCAGAGTACACTCATGCTATTTTTATCTGGTGAGGATCCTAGCATTTCTTGGCCATGTTTCCTTAAACATAATGCCATTGCAAGTAAACATGTAGGTTGTCCTGTTCCCTCAAATAAAAATTAAAGTATACTCTTGGTATCCTCATAAAGATCAATTTGCAGGAAAACTGTGCATCAGTCAGGCTGCCTGTGTGGAGACTGTTCTCTCAATGGAACTGCTTCAGCTGATTGAAAGCAAGGAGGCAGTCCCTGGCTGATCTGCGTTAACACAGAGTGTGATTTTGGTCAGGTGCACTGCAAATGCTTCTCAATGTAGTTCAAGATCATTAGGAGGTGTCCCTCGGGTCAACATCTAGTAGAGAATTCCAAGGCAGCGATAAAGGCAAATATAGGACATCTCAATCCATATTTTCTCTTAAACAACAAAAATAACTAATAGAGGGAAAATTTTTTCTATATATGTAGTATCTTATCGTTGTAATTTAAATGGCAGAAACTTGGCATTTTAAACATGTTTGTGTTTTTTATTTTTAATCTTCACCCAAAGATATATTTTATTTAGTTTTATTTTTCATTTATTTCAGAGAGGAAGGGAGAGGGGGAGAGAGATAGAAACATCAATGATGAGAGAGAATCATTGATCGGCTGCCTCCTGCATGTCCCCTACTAGGGATCGAGCCCACAACTCAGGCATGTGCCCTTGACTGGAATCGAACCCAGGATCCTTCAGTCCGTAAGCCAATGCTCTATCCACTGAGCTAAACCGGGTAGGGCATGTTTTTATTGATTTTAAAGGAGAGGAAGGGAGAGAAGAGAGAAAAACAAACATCAACCAGTTGCCTTCTACATGCACCCTGATCAGGGATCAAACCCAAAACCGAGGTATGTGCCCTGACAGAGAATTGAACCCACAACCGTTTGGTGTACTGGATGATGATCCAACCAACTTGGCCACCTGGCCAGGGCATATTATGTTTTTGAGATAAAATATTTTTTGTGTAGTCACATATATAATGTGGTCATATCTCCCCAACCTTAAAAATCTCACTCAAATGCCACCCCATGCCTGAATATTTCCTTATCTCTGCCAAGTGAATAATTTAAAAAAAATCTCTTCTTTCTGTATTCATATAGCACTTTCAAAAATCACGCTAAATGTACTTATCACTTCTGACTTTAAATTATTCCTGTTTGTGAATTACACTGAGCCCTGTGAGGAGGCAGACTATGTTCTATAGCAGATGTTCTCAACCTTCCTAATGCCGCGACCCCTTAATACAGTTCCTCATGTTGTGGTGACCCCCAATTTAATTGTTACAAATTGAACATAATTAAAGCATAGTGATTAATCACAAAAACAATATATAATTATATGTGTGTTTTCCGATGGTCTTAGGCGACCCCTGTGAAAGGGTCGTTCGACCCCCAAAGGGGTCTCGACCCACAGGTTGAAAACCACTGTTATACTATGATGTACCCTGCAGGAAGACAGGTATTGTGGTCAGAGTGTGATGAACAATAAAGTGCGAAATGACTGAGTGCAGAAGCCGATGGCTACCACACGGTTAATGTGTAACAGGCTTTCTCAGCCTCAGTACTGTTGACATTTTGAGCCTGATAACTCTTTGTTGTGGGGGCTGTTCTGTGCATTATAGGATGTTTAGAGGTGTCCTTGACCTCAGCCCACTAGATGCCAGTAGGATCCCTCCCCCAGGTTGTGACCACCAAGAAAGTCTCCAGAGGTTGTCAGATGTCTCCAGGAGGGCAAAATCATTGCTCCCTCTCACCATCCTCACTCCATGTTGAGAAACACTGATATATATGATAACATTCAAAATGCTGAAGGAAAAGCTACTACAGTGTTTCTGAAGGAAGCCATAAATTAGCGATATAAACACTACGAAACATTTAGCCCTAACAAATTATTGATTACGTCCACAGATCCTCAGAGCTGTATCTTTCCCTCCCCTACACCATTTATATGTTTCTATTAATTATTACTTTTATTAATCTTATTAATTTGTACCTATTCACACTAAAATTCAGGTGCTGTGAGTTTTATGCCCACATTCACTTCTTCACATGTGGTTATAAAAACAGTTTCCTCACAGTATTCTGAGTTTGGCTTGGCTAGGTATTCTATAGTCAATGTTGTACCAGATATGTATTTCCAAGGAGAATTGAAGTTTAGCTATGTAGCCTCCATGGAGTTTTATTGCATTATCTACATTTCCTTGATTTAAAGCTGAGTGTGTCATAGCTGAGAGTATTTGTAATACCAAGTAAGATATTGAAGAAAGAATAAATGGAGTAGTAAATGTAGAGATCTTAACAAAGAAATTGTATCTGGAAGAAAAAATAACTAACTAAGACAAAGAGGAAATCAGGAGGGAAA